TGAGGGTAAAAAGAAAAAAAAAAATGGATTTCAAACAGCCAAGTCCAATAGTATTTGACCAAAATTTAAGTAAAAACTATGAAAAGTTTAAACAAAAGTTCGAGATATACATAGTAGCGGCCGGTCTTGAGAGCAAGACGGACGAGCGCAAGGTGGCAATATTCCTTAACTGTGCAGGAGAAGAAGCCCTAGATGTTTTTAATACGCTAAACTTAAGCGAAGAAGACAAAAAACAATATCGAAAAGTAGTGGAAGCATTTGATAGTTATTGTAAGCCAAGGTCAAATGAAACATATAATAGGTATGTGTTTTTCTCGAAGGCACAAGCAGAAGGAGAAAGCATTGAAAGTTATATAAAAACATTAAAAGTTTTGGTAAAGAATTGCAACTTCGGAGAGCAACAAGAGTCACTAATTAGAGATCGTTTGGTACTAGGAGTTAATGATGATCAGTTGCAAGCAAAGTTGCTAAGTAAAACTAATTTAAATCTAGAAATGGCTGAACAAATTTGTTTGAGCACAGAAGCGAATAAAAGGCAGCTGAAAGAAGTAATAAAACGAGAAGAAGTATGTGCAATAAAGAAAGAAACAGCCAAAAATACAATGAATGAGAAGTGGGCTGAAAGAAGAACTCAAAGTTGGAACAGAAGAGAAAATAATGAATCATTTGACTGTTGGAGATGTGGAAGAAGACACACCAGGGGAAGATGTTATGCGTATGGCAAAAAGTGTAATAAATGTGGTGAACTCGGTCATTTTGCACTTGCATGTAATAATAATAGAGGTAGTCAAAGACAGATAGTAAGAAGGTCAGTAAATGAAATCATTGATGAAGATGAAAATGAACTTTTTATTGAAACAATTTCTTTAGATAAGTTAGAGAGTAATAACAGTAAGTTAAATGAGTGGGAACAAATAGTTGTTATAGAGAATGAAATAATAGCATTTAAGATAGATACAGGGGCACAGTGCAATGTATTACCTTTAAAGTATGTTAAACAGCTTAACAAAGAAAAGGAAATAATAAGAACCAGTCAAAAAATAGTAGGGTATGGGGGAAACAAGATAGTTGCGCTAGGGTATATTATTTTGAAGTGTTTTGTTAAGTTAGTTGAGGTTAAGTTGAAATTTGTAGTTGTAAACCTTGAAAGCAAGCCCATTTTAGGTTTAAATACTTGTAGTAAGTTAAATCTAGTAGTGCAAGTTGGTGAGGTAGTCACAGATGAAAAACATATACTGAAGGCTGAAAAACATAAATTCAAGTTCATTAGTATGAATAAAGATATTTTTCAGGGGGAAGGAAATATTCCATTTAAATATAATATCAAACTAAAACCTAATTATCAGCCAGTTGTAAGTAGTTGTAGAAGATTACCAGATACAGTTAAGTCAAAGTTACAGGTAACATTAGATAGTTTAGTCAAAAGAAATATAATTGAAAAAGTACATGAACCGACAGAATGGGTTAACAATATTGTATGCATAGAAAAACCTAATGGGTCACTGCGACTTTGTCTTGATCCAATGCATCTAAACCAAAATATTTGTTTAGACAGACACCCTATTCCAACTGCTGAAGAAATAGGGCTAAAATTACAAGGAAAAAATATCTTCACAGTACTAGATATGAAGGATGGGTTTTATCACATAAATTTAAACAGAGAAAGTAGTAAAATTTGTACATTTATAACTCCATTCGGGAAGTTTTGTTTCAAGAGGTTACCTTTCGGGTTGGCTTCCAGTCCTGAAGTTTTTCAGCGTACAAATGAGCAAATATTTGGAGACATAGATGTACAAATTTATTTTGATGATATCATTATTCCGGCAAAGAGTGAGAGGGAGCATGATGAGTTATTGGCAAAGGTTTTACAACGGGCTAGACAGTTTAATGTTAAGTTTAATGAAACAAAAGTACAGTATAAAGTCAAAGAAGTTAAATATTTGGGACAAATCTATTCAGGGGAAGGCGTTAAACCTGACAAAACATACATAGAAGCGATAGTGGCACTAGAGACACCTAATAATAAAAAAGAGGTAATGAAAATATTGGGTATGGCAAATTATTTGACAAAGTATATACCAGTGCTGGCAGAAATTGTAGCACCTATGAGAAAACTAGTTAAAAATAATGTTGAATTTGTGTGGACAGTTGATCATTCAGAGTCATTTCAAAAGTTAAAAAAGGTTGTAACCAATTTGCCCATACTTAAAATATTTGATTCAAGCAAACCGATTGTAGTTCAGTGTGATAGTAGTCAAAATGGATTGGGAGGGTGTCTAATGCAGTCAGGACAACCAATTGCCTTTTGTTCACGTAGCCTATCAGAATCAGAGAAACGGTATGCTCAAATTGAAAAAGAATATTTAGCAATATGTTATGCGCTTAATAAATTTCATTAGTTTGTTTATGGTAGAAAAGTGATCGTACAGTCAGATCACAAGCCATTAATAGGTATTCAAATGAAAGGGATTGACAAAATCACTAGTAGGTTACAAAGAATGAGGTTAAAAGTTTTAAAATATAATTTTGTGATTGAATACCTACCAGGTTATCGAATGTACATAGCTGATTTACTCAGTCGGTCGTATATTAAAAATAAAGTTGCGGACGATCCAAAAATGTTAGAAATTGTACATTGCTTAGAAGTTGAATATCCAATATCTAATGCGCGACTAGAGGACATAAAAAGGAAAACAAAATCTGATAATAGTTTTAGGGTCATTCAAGAATATAGTGTACAAGGTTGGCCTGATAGAGTTGTAGAAGACGGAGAGATACAAAAATACTATAAAATCAAAGATGAGATAATTTTAAAAAATGGAATGATCTTTTATAATAATCGAATTTGTATTCCCAAAGAGTTGCGATACCACATGTTACAGCAGTTACATAAAACACATGCGGGTATCGAAAAAACTAAAAATAGGGCCAGAAAGTTGTTCTATTGGCCAGGTATGACTGTAGATATTGAGAGGTTTATTGCAAACTGTAGAGTGTGTGAGCAGTTTAGTAGAAATAATGTTAAGGAGCCATTATTGCAACATGAGATGCCGAAACTTCCTTTTGAAGTTGTAGCATCAGATATATTAGATTATGGAGGTCAGTCATATCTAGTACTAGTTGATTTCTATAGCAATTGGATAGAGTTACATAAATTAAAAAGCAAATGAATGCAAGACATTTTGCAATGCCTGAAAATGATTTTTGGTGTCTTTGGGCTACCCCAAAAATTCTTGTCAGATAATGTTCCCTATAATAGCAAAATGTTTAGACAATTCTGCACTGATTATGATATAGAATGTATATTTTCAAGTCCGAGGTATCCTAAAAGCAATGGTCTAGCTGAAAAGGCCGTGGGAATATGTAAACAAATGTTACGAAAGTGTGTAAATGATGATGAATTGTTCTATTTTCTACTAGAATATAGAACAACGCCTTTATGTGGCGTTAACAAATCACCCTCGGAAATTTTAAATAGTAGATTACTAAGAACTGTATTACCTGTTGATAGTGAGTTACTAAAACCAAAAGTAGTTGATGTGTATGAAAAAAAAGATTGAGAAACAAAATATGGTTAAACAAAATTATGATAAGACCGCAAAAAATGGGCCTGTTTTTAAAAAAGGTGACAATGTATTACTGAAAATAAGAAAAGAAGATTTCTGGGAGAGGGGTAAAATAGTGGGTGCTCATCAAGCACCTAGGTCAATGATAGTGCAGAGTGAAAATGAAGGCACTTATAGAAGAAATACTTCTTTTCTTAAACATTCTAATAATAAAATGAAGGAAATGACAAGTGTAGTAAATGATGAACAGGTTGTTGATAAAAGTGAAAGTAGTGACAACAGTCAAATTTGTAACAATAAGGAACAAAGTGATGAGGACAATCTTGACAAAGAGAAGGACAAAGATCAAGTTGATATAAACAATAGGGTTGCCACAAAGTCTGGTCGTGTTGTACGTAGACCAGCAAGATTTAATGATTAATACTCCATGTTGTGAGTTAAGAATGTCAAGAAAGTTTCGTGAAACAACCATAATATTGAGTACTTTAATGGTTACCTGTAAACCAAATAAAAATGTTTAGTTGTAAGTTCATATTTTGAGTTGTGATTTTTAAGAATATTGTAGAATACAATTTTCATAGTTTTGGGGTTACTTACTTTAGTAAGAAGGGGGGATGTTACATATTGTAATAATAGTTGGTAGCAATGTATTATTATACATGATAATAATAGGTTGGTACCACGACAAGAGCAGTCAAGAATGTCAGCATGAGCATGTCAGATTTACAATAAAGAAGGTTATGAAGATTCCGGCTTTTATTTAAATCAAGTTAATTCCTGAATCATCTTCAAAGATAAATATGAAACAGTTTTAAGTATTCTTTGTTAGTGGTTAGTGATTTTCTATATTTTATCACTAATCTAGAGTTAAGTGTATAAGCTTTAAATATAGTGGTGCCCAAATTCTTTTTCAAAGTTATTCGAGTTATTTAAAAACCTAACCCACGCCCTATAAATTGAGCTCAAACACATATATCAAAGTAGATAAATTACCAGCTATTAATTTTACAGTTGTTTGATCATGTACTGGATAAATTGCCTTCAACAAATTATTTACATGTTTACTGTTTTGCGAAAGTAACATTATAGTGAAACAAAGTTATTTTTTTAACCTTAGTCCTAATTGTTTTCGATAGTGACTCCGCAGACTTTTATAATGAACTTAATCACCACCTCTAAAGAATGTTATCCACCCACATTCAGATCTTTCAAATTAAATATGCTCGTTATAACAAAATACGTTTATTAAAATTACGTTACACAAATAAAGCCACGTATTCTCTAGGCGAACGAAAGCGAACGAACAGGGACCGCACTTATGCACTGGGCTAATATGTTCTGAGGAATGCACGCGAAGCAACTTTTTCTCCCCCCTTCACCTTAAAATTACCTCAACTCACACATGGCTACCCCCCTTGTCAAAGCAACTTAGTTTTGGGTAGTGTTCTATCGGCTGTCGGTACTTCAAAGGATTTTCGTCCGCATGCGGTGTGCAGTGTGCTCGTATATACGTAGAACCAATTCATTCGCTAAAAAATATGAAATCAAACAGTAGGGAGTAGCAAGTATGAATTATTTTTTCAATAGCTTGGTTGGGTTTTTAATTATTAATATTATTGCTATTATTATTAATAAGATACTCTACGTTTATTATATTTCGGTATAATACTCATATAATAAGTATAAGATCGGTGCGACAAAATGAAATAACGAACGAATTCGTGCGAATACATTCATTAGTGTAAGGAACAAATACTTGCGCATGCCAGGGCATACGTGCGGTTCTGTTTGTTCACTTTCAATCGCCTAGAGTGTACGAGAATTAACAACAACAATATTTACGAGGCAGATACCTTAAAAAACTAAGGTAACTATATTTAGTTTTACTTCTACGGTTTTTGGTTTAGTGCTATTGCTTCTGGAATGGTATCGCTTGACTCTGTTGGGCTCTTCTTGAAAATCAGTCTGTACAGAAGACCACCTACGAATCCAGCAGATAAAGGACCAACCCAGTATACCTATATTTACAAAACAAATTAATATTTTTCAGTAAAAAATTTCAATATGTCATATATTAATTACATACATCAAAAAAAATATCTATATATCTATTAAAATCTGGAGAATGGGAGAAAATACTCCCAAATTCATCTAGAGGTTATAATTCACTTCATGTCTCATTTTACTTCATTGTTTTACGTCAGTGTTGTTTTTTCTTTGTTTATCAGTTGTCAGTTTAGTCACAGTTTATAGCTAAAGAGCCAGTTCGCTCACTCTGCGTCAGCACTTTTGATCTCAATGTTCCACTTTATACATTGCGCAACTCGGATTTGTATCCCTGGGGCATACAAAATCAAATCATAATAGCCGAAGAGCCCACTGCAAATTTTTATCGCCATCTGATAATGAAATAAAATATACCCCAAACGCTTGTAAAAACATTGTACTTTACCAAATGGCAACTGTGCCAATCCCAATCCTGAGCAAAGTGGTTTAAAAAAATCGCATAAGGCATGACAGCGCTAATTTTGTTTGCCCTTAAAGTTTTTCAGATAACATATTCAAATATATCTTGATATATATCGTTAACGGGAAACATTTTTTTCCTCTTAATATTGCACAAGAACATCCACACACGATTAGTAGGTAAAAATCATTAAAAATATGAATCAATTTTTGCTGATTTAAAAATTTATTTGTATGCCCATTGTTATGATTCATTTTTACAGGTTGTCATAGAAACGACAAAAAAAACTACTATGATTATGATTTTTTCTACACCCGTATTATAATAATGCACTTATATGCCCATAATCCGTTTCATAATGATACCCATTATGATACAGATTTTTCATTACGATACAGATTTTTAATCAATAGAAACCTACAATTTTTCAATCAAGCATGCTGTTTGACGTTTGTCCTAGGTTCCTATGTAATTATTTTAGTTGTCAAAACGTATTAAATTTTCGTAGGTAGCTAAACTTCGATAATTATAATATTAAAATGTCTGATATTAGCGATATAGAAGACTCCTCCACACATATCGGAGGAAGCAGAAAATACAGTACAAAATATTTTACCGCAAAAATCTAGGGAAATACCAATACCTGAAGTAATACCATTAATTACAATTTTGTAGAATTTTTTATAGAAATACGAGTAATTACTGTTATTGTGTTCAATACCAATATAAATATAATATTTATAGGTCTTGATTATTTATCGGGTGTAGAAAAAATAGCGTATGCAACTCTCATGTAATGGTTATTAAAACACTCGCATAAACCATACGAAACTCGCCTTTGGCTCGTTTCGTATCCCGGTTAATGCTCGTGTATTAATAACCATCATTACATGATCGTTGCATAATATACTATTTAAGAATTGTCTAACAAGAGTTTATAATTATTATTGACTATCTCTGCAAATGTTTTATATAATGCCATCGTTTTTTCTATCACACATACACATGGTTTAAAAGGTAGGTAAAAATATTAATAATTCAGGTTTAAAAGCTAGGTTAACAATGAATTAGGATTATAATTTTCAGGGAAAACACAATTATCGCTGTCATGTCTTATGTGATTTTTTGAATATAAAATATTTTTTTTAATCACTTTGCTCAGAATAAAGATTGTCACAGGTGCAATTTGGTAAAAAGCAATATTGTTACTTGTCTTTGGACAAGATAGCGGTCGTACCTAATTAGTATTTTTTTTATGTGTTATCGGCTTCAACTGCTAAGGTTATTTCGCCTCGTGTTCTGTGTAGGCTTTGTTACTGTTTCCCAGCGCCATTTTAGGAACAGCACTGTTTATTAGAACCCAACAGTGAATGGTCGAGTGGGGGAATTCTACCAAGGCATCAGAATTAATTTTAAATAATTAAATTAAATGAAAAAATTATGGCCAACGGTAAGATTCGAACCTGGGACCCTTGGATCCACAGGCAGAGACTCTACCACTGAACCACCCACCCAACCCGCCCCCCTAATTAGTATTATTTTTATTATTATTTTTATTATTGTGTTTGACAAAATATTTAAATTCAATCCACTATTTATGATTTTACGTATTGTAAACAGAATACATCTTATGTCGCAACCCTTGGGTATATCAAATCTTCCCACTGGCAGTTGATTTGTTTGGAATGCCTAATACAATATATGACAACCGCCTATGTTCAAACAGTAGTTTTCTGCGCATCATGAATTTGTATCCCAGGAGTTGATGTTATTTTGGAACATCCAATTGGTCCGAGTGAGCTAACTGATTCTTTAGCTATAAACTGTGGTTTAGTTCTATGCATAGGCACGTGCAGCGTGGATGACAGTTTATAGGTGTTTCAACTCTCTAAAAAATATGGTCCTAACCTCCGAGCTATTACTAAAAGAGGGAGTATTTCCCTCACGCTAAATTTTGTAAGCAACATCTACTCCTTCCGATGGGGGAAATCCCTCTCCTATAATTGGCCAATTTAATCAGCGTTGCCAAGTTTGAGAGCGCCAGTTCTGACACTTTCTAAGACATCAATTTTTGATTTGTATTTTAAGAGAAAAATATAATTATTTATAGCGTTGTAAGGAATGTAAATGTATATTTAAGATTTATTATCTCTAATAAAATGGTAAAAACATGATTTATGTGTAAAAGACCGAAAACGCTTCTTCACGCACGCACGCACGCACGCACGCACGCACGCACGCACGCACGCACGCACGCACGCACGCACGCACGCACGCACGCACGCACGCACGCACGCACGCACGCACGCACGCACGCACGCACGCACGCACGCACGCACGCACGCACGCACGCACGCACGCACGCACGCACGCACGCACGCACGCACGCACGCACGCACGCACGCACGCACGCACGCACGCACGCACGCACGCACGCACGCACGCACGCACGCACGCACGCACGCACGCACGCACGCACGCACGCACGCACGCACGCACGCACGCACGCACGCACGCACGCACGCACGCACGCACGCACGCACGCACGCACGCACGCACGCACGCACGCACGCACGCACGCACGCACGCACGCACGCACGCACGCACGCACGCACGCACGCACGCACGCACGCACGCACGCACGCACGCACGCACGCACGCACGCACGCACGCACGCACGCACGCACGCACGCACGCACGCACGCACGCACGCACGCACGCACGCACGCACGCACGCACGCACGCACGCACGCACGCACGCACGCACGCACGCACGCACGCACGCACGCACGCACGCACGCACGCACGCACGCACGCACGCACGCACGCACGCACGCACGCACGCACGCACGCACGCACGCACGCACGCACGCACGCACGCACGCACGCACGCACGCACGCACGCACGCACGCACGCACGCACGCACGCACGCACGCACGCACGCACGCACGCACGCACGCACGCACGCACGCACGCACGCACGCACGCACGCACGCACGCACGCACGCACGCACGCACGCACGCACGCACGCACGCACGCACGCACGCACGCACGCACGCACGCACGCACGCACGCACGCACGCACGCACGCACGCACGCACGCACGCACGCACGCACGCACGCACGCACGCACGCACGCACGCACGCACGCACGCACGCACGCACGCACGCACGCACGCACGCACGCACGCACGCACGCACGCACGCACGCACGCACGCACGCACGCACGCACGCACGCACGCACGCACGCACGCACGCACGCACGCACGCACGCACGCACGCACGCACGCACGCACGCACGCACGCACGCACGCACGCACGCACGCACGCACGCACGCACGCACGCACGCACGCACGCACGCACGCACGCACGCACGCACGCACGCACGCACGCACGCACGCACGCACGCACGCACGCACGCACGCACGCACGCACGCACGCACGCACGCACGCACGCACGCACGCACGCACGCACGCACGCACGCACGCACGCACGCACGCACGCACGCACGCACGCACGCACGCACGCACGCACGCACGCACGCACGCACGCACGCACGCACGCACGCACGCACGCACGCACGCACGCACGCACGCACGCACGCACGCACGCACGCACGCACGCACGCACGCACGCACGCACGCACGCACGCACGCACGCACGCACGCACGCACGCACTCACGCACGCGCGCACGCACGCACGCACGCACGCACGCACTTATACACACACACACACACACACACACACACACACACACACACACACACACAGAGACATCATCGCAAAAATAGTCAAAACGGATTCAGGGGACGTGAACGTGAAAAACCATCGAAAACTCGAGGTAGAAAAAAATTATGATTTCTATACTTTCCTTATCTGTATACAGAAAGGGAAAAACGTCAGATTACTTATGTTCAGGGAGCATTAACTCTTTAAACATTTAACTACTTAAAATGTGTTACTTTTAGAAGGTATGTTATTAACTTTCTATTTGAACATGTATTAATTTATTTCATTTTAACTCTGTTTGTTGTATTTTCAAATTGATTTTGATATTATTATTATTGTTTCAATTTTGTTATATTCACATATGTTTTTTCATTGAAACAAACGTTTATTATCTAATTAAATATAATTAATCCACGTTGTTTTATTATATACTTGTATAAATGATTACTTTATATCATTTTGAAAATGAATTTTGAAGATAAAGCCGAAACGGGGAGTGAGTATAAAAAATTAGACGAAAATGACGATATTTACTGGAGCTCATCTACACTCTTCTTTTTCTAGCCTATCCATCATACCTGAGCCAGCAAGATTCGTCTTCCCTCCATCCTTACATTATCAAGATTTACAGAGAAAACGCCAAGTCTTCTTTCACAGATCTGAATCTCCTTTGATGGGGACTATATCACTACTCACTACTTTACATTATCAGCCTTATTATGCAGAGCAATTTAAATGCATTCGTAATTGCTCATTCTCACCTCTTTTCTTGTAGATCTTCCTTATTTTTAGTTAAGTATGCACAGCTATTTTATTTTATCTTTTCCACAGCTTTAATTCTACAATAATGTAATGCTATAATATGGATCCATTTTTGTGATTTGTACTATTTAATTTTAATTGTAAGTGACCAACCTATTCTTATATTGTTAATATTATAATAATTAAGGATTATTGTATTACATGCCTGAAGATGTCCATGTGAGGCCGAAACTAGTCTCTCCTGTATTTATTTATAATAAAACTGATGTATTGATTTTGAGGTTTTGTTCTTTAATAGAAAAAATTAAACCTTTACAGTGATTTTGTTTTATTTCCTACATCAGACACATATAAGACGATAATATATTTTAAAAATAGTAAAACTAGCGAATTTTTTAGTTTTTTTTTATAATTAATAAGTTTGTACAATATGTGTTATTACAAAGAAATGATACGCCACTGAACAAGAGGGCCCGCTTCTTCATTTCTTCTATAGATGTTGCGAACACAACAATCTCCTACTAACTCGTTTCACGCTCCCTCTAGTAGTAATTGCTCGAAGGTCCTAACCTAACCTGTGCAATCTTAGAAAATTCATTTTATCGAGTGAGAAATATATTTGAATAAATTTTTTTGAGTAAGATTGCGGAAATAATTATCCTAAGAAGATTAAAAGAACATACGTGATGAACAATTCGGATTCAGAGAGGAACACTCGACCGAATTGCAAGTCCTGAGACTCGTCGAAGGGATCACCAGAGGATTCAACAGAAATCAGTCCACAGAAACCATATTCTTGGATGTCGCCAAGGCATTCGATAGAGTTTGGCACGCTGGGCTGATTTTTAAGATAAAGGACCAAGGGTACACAGCAAGTATGACAAGGTTGCTCAGGTCGTACTTCGGAGAAGGCAATTTCGGGTCAAGATGGGACAAGTCCTATCTAGACCAGGAATTCCGAAAGCGGGAGAACCTCAAGGAGCAGTATTGTCTCCACTGCTGTATTCCATTTACATCCCCAAAATCCAACATAGTGCCATGTCCCTCTACGCGGACGACACAGCGATATCGGCAACAAGCACACAGCCAGAACTCATATCAAGATATCTACAAGACGCAGCGGAAGACATAGAAGAATGGTGCATAAGATGGAAGATCAAGATCAACGCGGAGAAGACACAGGCTGTGCTGTTTAAAAAGAGACGTCACCCTCCAGGAGAAGAAGTAACGATGAATGAACAGGACATCCCATGGACCGACTCAGTCAGGTACATAGGAGTTATTATGGACCAAAAACTCACCTTCACCAAGCACGTGGGCATGGCAATAAAGAAGATGAAACAGGCAAGAACAAGACTAGACTGTCTAATAATACTACAGACAAAAATAAGGCTCATTCAGGCACTAATTATGCCTATACTGATGTACGCCACGACGGCGTAGGGTTACACCTGTAAGTCAAACAGGAAGAGGATATAAGCTCAACAGAACATCAGCCTGAGATGGGCCTCAAACGCATACAGTTATACCAGAAATACAGAAACGACGTAATTAAAAGGGATCTAGAATCCAAAAGGGTCCTAGATCTTTTTCACAAGAAGGCCACTGACACCTTCGAAAAACTAAGGACATCCAAATATGGAACTGCGTGAACTAACAGAGTACGAGAGAGAGGATTATCGCTGGAATATGGCGGCGAGTGACCGAACTACGGAAGGTGATTCAAGACGCTCATGGAATATAAGATTTCTCCCCTGAGTGTCGGGGGGGGGGGGGGGGGGGGGGGGGGGGTTGTCGATCCAGTAAAACAGGATGGGATCTTACCCGACTTGGGTTCAAGTAAGGTGTGTGTGGTAAACTACCTTTCCCCGAGCAGTACGAGCTGAATACCTCTCGTTTCCTGATCAGTCCTGGTGAACGTGTTGAGTTTGTCAATTGGGAAACGTGTTAAATTTCCTGATAGACGTGTTGAGTCTATATTCCTGATAGACGTGTTGAGTTTGTCAATTGGTAAACGGGTTGAGTTTCCTGACAGACGTGTTGACTCTATATTCCTGATATATGTGTTGAGTCTATATTCCTGATAGACGTATTGATTCTGTTTCCCCGTAGAAAACATGTTTAGTCGTCGACGCCAAGTCCGCACCCGATTAACATTTTATTTTCAGAAAGCCCGTGCGATCACCGTCGCTTCCTAGCAGAAACCCAGTTTACAATGAACCATCTCGTCGAGAGCCCAGCTGTTCGACACTTAACGAAAGGCCGTTGGTGTGTGCCCGCGGGCCGTGAAGAAAACAATTTTCTTTTAAATATTTTATATTGTTATTTAATAGAGAGAATAAATACTTTTATTTTGAATCCTGTCTTCTGAATTACCCGAACCACATTACAGTTGAAACAAAACTTAGGTATATAACTCATTTGAAAGTTGTAATTCTGCAAAGACAACTTTAATTAGAACTAAATACGACCCTGCTTAGACTACCATTAAAGCCACGCCCAGTGGGGTCATTTTTAATAACACTTATCTTATTGGAAACAAATGCCTCATAGCATCTCCATTAGTATTATACATCCATGATTCAACTATATAAACTAATGACCTCTGGCGTATGTTTTAAAACTATAAATATAGGGAAATCTTTTCAATGTGAGATTTGATTGAAGTTGAAACTATGAAAGTTGAAACATCTATAACTGTCATCTACTGTAGTTTTATGTTAAGATTTGGATTATAAGTAATTACGAATTTGCAAGTATAGCTAGGTACGTATCAATATAATAATATATAATATCGAAATAATATTTACCCAATGGTACTGCCAATCTCCATTAAATAATGCAGGAACGAAACTTCTGGCAGGGTTCATGTTTGCTCCTGTGTTAATATCATGCATTATGAATTTTGAAACATTGATCACAGATTGAATAAGTCGATAAATTATGAGGACATTCGCGTTCAAAGTAAAGTAAGATAATAAAGTTCAACAACGCAACTTAAAAAATGGAGTTTAATTTAAGATTGTTAAATTAAAATGCTGCTACTATATGGACTCTATTAATCCAAATTTTATGATGTCTGTTGTAGAATGATGGAACTACATTTCGTTTTTACTTTTTTTCTTCTTCGTTTTAAAATAACTGAATATTAGAATGAGATAATACTATTTTTAGTGAATAATAGAGCCACAAAGCCAATACTTTATAGCGGATTCTTTTTTTTTTTGAACACTTGTACAGGAAGATTTCTCTTTTTCTAAATGTGATGTAATTGTTGTATCGAAATCTGACACGTGCCTTTGAGGCTGTCTTTCGAGCTAGTAAATCATCCTCTTTATTGTTCTTGTGTCTTCTGAGGTTTGTTATTCAGATAGGCACACTTAAAGCTTCCAGTTTCAAGCAAGTTTTGTGGGTACCTGCATGGAACAGTGCTTCCTAATGTCGCGTTACTATCTTATCTGAGTATAATATAAAGATTATTCCAATTAACCTATATCATAGTACTTCTTTTGCACAGTGATATTGGTGCTTTTTCTGCCTGGAACACTGTCCATGTTTACCTAAGCTCCGTGAGATTATTGTCTGGCTGGGCACTATATGTACACATATACCTAGTTCTAGTCATTAATTAGCGTTGAAGCCGTCTATATATAAAATGATTTCTTAGTGAATAAGTTACCTATCTGATATACTTACTTTATAATATACATATAGCTTTATTTTGGGAGCATTTCAGCATTTCAGGAGTAAAAGATAAGCCAGAATACTGTTCTATGTACTATGAATGATGAAGCTACATTTCGTTATCAACTTTAAAATATGTTACGCCCTTTCTCTTTTTGATTTTAAACAATCTTATGAACGAAGTGGAAAAAGAGGATGTGACATTTAATATGTGAGCCTAATTTCTTTCAAGGTTAGTTTTAAAATAACTAAAAGCTATTATAGCGTTAAATTTTTTTTGAATACCTGTGAATGACATTTTCTGTTTTTTATTTCTAGATTATGTAACTGTTGTCCCAATATCAAAAATGTAAGAAATTTGACTAACCAGTTTGATGTTATTTTTATAACGTGTAAAGTGTGTTAGACACAAGAAATTCTATAAACATTTTTTGCTTACCCCTGCCATCGCCAAAACAGCCACTGCCAATCCAAACCTAAGAGGTACCGAATCGTGTTTGTCGCTGTTTCTTGAGTCCCATACTCCACAACAGAAAAGCACCAAGATCAGCGATAGAATGAATTCGACGAAGCAAGCTTCTCCTGGGGATATGTTGGGATTAAAACTCGGTGAACAAACTCCTGGTTGCTTGACGCCGGAAATTATGGCGTTTCCAAGGTGAATGTCTGGTGTTGCTATCTGAAAGAAAATATAATTTTTGGTTATAATTTAATAATCTCTAGGTATCTGAATGATTAAAACAGATTTATACACACATACGTCCATATTTCCTTTTAATGAACATAAAGGCCGAGCGTTGGCAATGTATTTAATATAGGCATGCACAACGTTCTTTCAGATACTTTTTAACCGAAACTACAAGAAAGGAGAAACTGAAAAAAATCGTTCCGCTAATCAAACATACTATTGTTTAATACAGGTTTTTGGTGTCTCTAACTATAAGGTATCGTTTAAAAATAATTCCAAAATATGGTAATTTTTAACGATGGAATAAAAAGAAAATTAGGCCAGTAATAATTACCCGATGACGAAAATACTTCTTCCTAAAATAGGTTAATATATTAAATCAACAAATGGCACTGAAAAGATATTAATCAAAAGCGTCAATTTGCTTAAAAGCTCATTGACGTAAATTTTGCAAGAAATTGAAAGCAGCCATTTTTGGGTAAATGCTTGCATATAGAAGGAAACTTCCTAAGACTGCATAACAGTCATACAATATTTATTATTTTGTATATGAATATGGTTTTTTCTTAATTTATTTACCCGTGTACAACACTTTATAGGTTACTTGTGTTTATTTATAGCTATTTATGTACCAAGGGCGTAATAAGGATGATTATGCCCGAAGGATAACAGATCCAGCCCGAGGGCCTTTGGCCCGCACAAAACAATTCCTGAAATAAAATCAACAAGTACACCTAACCATAGCAACGTAGCACGTTTTGATTAAATTTATATAAAACATAACAGAAAGTTTTGAAATAAACGACAAATATTCAGTTTTACATTTTGAAATTCGCTATAATAGAAAAATAAGTTTTTAGGATTGAAATTGTAGTTTTTATAAAATCAGGAAACCATTTTAATTAAAGTTCATTATTTATAACAATTCTTTCTTAATGATAAATAGTTTTTTGAGACAGTACAAACGGGGGCATAATAGCGGGCGAAATGAATTCATTATGCCCTCGTCTCTAAGTTTACATATTTCGAATCAGGCGCGAAATGAACCTATTATTGTGAAGTGAAATATAATAGTTATTTATGTATCAAGGGCGTAAAACAGGCGTTTATGGACCGCAACGTGTAAGTAAGAGCCCGAGCCGCTAGGCTAGACGTAAGGTCCATAAACGCTGTTTACGCCCGAAATACATACAATATTTTATGCACGACCGTTTTAATAGTCATTTATTAATAAATATACAAAATTGTATGCACGACCGTATTAATGATAGTTTATTAATAAATATGTTTTATTTTCTATTTTTCACCTTTTGTGAGTAGGTTATTATAAATGTTTCAAGTTGTTGGATAAATTTTATACCTCGATATTATTATAACTCACCCTGTATAACAATCTACCAAATCATTTGTATAATTAAATAAAAATAAGTCTTATTGAAACTAATAAGATGATAAAATAACAATAATCTATATACCTATACGCGTTACCATAGCAACCAAGTCAATAGGACAAGAATAGGTAGACGCAATTTTTATTTACAGTCGACTTCACGTATTGCAAGTTTCTTAGTATATTTTCGAAGAAGTTTTATATATTTTGTTTATGTAATGGACAGTAGTGACGATGAAATAGTTTCCGGAATACCACCGGAAATTTTTAAAGCAGCAGAAGATGCAAAATTAAGTTTACTACCCTCCAAATCTAAGAGACTATACGATAAGGTCTACGATGAATTTGTTAGCTGGTGCAAATTGAAGAATGTTATAGACGGTAACTATACAGAAAATGTATTTCTTGCATTTTTTCTGGAAAAGTCCAAATGCCGTAAGCCGTCGTCTCTATGGTCATATTATTCTATGTTAAAAGCAACTGTAAATTTGCACAATAATATAAACATCGCTAGATATTCAAGATTGATAACATTCTTAAAACGGAAATCAGACGGTTATAAATCAAAAAAATCAAAAATTCTAACCAGGGAAGAAATAGAATTATTTTTAGTAGATGCTCCAGATAATTTATATCTTATGATAAAAGTAAGTTAATTGTTGTTTTTTTATTTTAGTGTATTATGTTAATATGATTATTTATTGTAGGTTGCACTAATTTTTGGTATTTGTGGAGCATGTCGTCGAGAGGAATTAGCTAATATTTCAATAGACGATATTCAAGATTTAGGAACAACCTTATTGGTAACCATACGAGCATCTAAAACTAAAATTGACCGCATTTTCAGTGTGATTGACAAAGAGCAGGAATCACCAAGTTATCTCGACTTATATCGAAAATATGCTTCTACGTACGACAAATACCAACCACGGAAGTTTTTTTGTGTATTATTGTAATGGAAAATGTTCCAGTCAGGTGGTTGGAAAGAATACATTTGGTCAAATTCCTTTTAAAATAGCAACTTATTTAAAATTGCCTACTCCAAAAGACTACACAGGCCATTGTTTTAGACGATCATCAGCAACTTTGTTAGCTAATGCAGGTGAGGATATCCTTAACATAAAGCGACATACTGGTTGGAAGTCTACAACGGTGGCAGAAGGTTATATTGAAGATTCTGTGGCAAATAAAATGAAAATCGCCAAAAAAATTGTCAATGCTGATATGCCTTCTACTAGTCGCACAGCTGAATTTTCAAATTTACACACAGATTCTTTTGAGCATACACCTTCCAGCAGTAACCCAAATCATACGGAGTTAGTAGAAGTTCGTAGCAACTTACAACAGAGCAAGGTAGCAAATCCTAACATTTCTATAAGTAATTGTTCACATTGTGTTATTAGTATAAAATTATAAGTGTGAGGATCTTATGTTTGGGCTTTTAAAGTTTTAATTTCTTTATTAAACTCATATTTTGTTAATTGTACCAAATATTTCCATGATAATAAATAATAATAATAAAGTTTGTTTTACTAACTACATGTGAATTTTTAAAAGAAAAAAAAAAGAAAGTTACTTTACCGCCCGGCGGGCGGTAAAGTAGTCCGTGGGCGGTAAAGTAGTCCGCGGGCGGTAAAGTAGTCCGCGGGCGGTAAAGTGACACTTTACGCCTGCTAAACGTATTTATAATCTGGACTTTATCGCCCGGTCGTGCATAAAATTATTTATGTACAACTTACTTAATTTATGACATTGTAATTTAGTTATATTATTGCAGCGAGAACTATTAGATCCAAACAAGCAACAATTATTCATGTTATGTTGGGAATATGGTGTTAATACACTGCGACCTAAAAGATCTATGGTACCCCTTCTGTAGCTAATGCAACAAGGAAATGTCTCAATGTCCATAACGACCCTTCCAACCCTATCTTTTCAAGGAAGTGTAGGATTTGGAGTTGCTTCAAGTTAGATAAATCTCCCTCTTTCTATTTGATATGCTCCTAGGTGCAGTGCCTTTGGATTCTAGAGTGCTACACATTTAGTTAGAATGTAAATGAGAGTTTCGTCCTTCTCCTCACAGAAAAATTTTACTATATTCTACTACTCTTAGTTTACTAAGGTGTCCAGTAAGGATCTCTGTTACAATACGTAGCCTGTGCTTCCTCAGGCAGATACAGGCTTCCGATCTTTTCTGATTATATTCACCCAGATGTATCTTAGCCTGTCTTAGCCCCAAGAGATTGTTCCAATTATTGGTTCTTCTACTGCCCAATTCTTTTTAATCTCTCCTAATAGTGTGTTACTTCTGATACCGCAGAACGGCTCAGGTCCCACACAGAGTATTTGAGACCCTTTCCCTGATAGACCCTGTTATTTCCCGGAACTCAAATGAGAGTAACTGCATCTCCAGACCATTTTTAAGCTGATTACGTAAGAGGTCAGCGCTTTAATGGCTGCTTGTCTATCGGACATGATGATAATCTTTTGGCTACGATAGTTTCTCTCGATGTTAAACCGGATACACTTTTTGATGGTGTGGATTATTGCCTGGAAGATGCTTGGGTAATTTCCCAAACTTTAAGAGTGCCTGCTTCTAGGCCTTATTCCAGTTTCTTCTATGGTTTTGGAATCATCCGCATACCACTGAATAGCATGCCTTTCGGTTGCAAGTACGATGAATTCTTGGCTCCATTCTTTCTTGCAGCCTAGCTCTGTAGTTTTAAAGTTTTTCACAAAACAGTACTTCTTTCGTATTTCGTCTTAGGGCATATCCCAAGTATATTCGGTCCTGAAGCTAATATATACGTTCGTCTGATTACTCCGTTCCTGATATTTTATATTGTGTCCTTTTTGCCACATTCTCTATCATTATCAAACAAGGCGCAATTCACACAGAACGGGCGCGTGGTGGTGGCGTGGGACTGACGTGGTGCAGTTGTGGAGCGGACGTGGCGCACTCAATGCACACTGAAGGGGATCGGACAGATACCTCGTTTTTTTGTCATTCAGTATTTAGTTATAAAACATCAAAGTGACCTACATGTGAAGAGAAATAAAAATGTTCTCCGATGACGACGAAGATGACCTGGATATGTTGAAGTTAATAAACAAGTACTTCCCATTTTCACTGAATTTCTTTGCTATTTTGTCCCATGAATGGTCTTGTACAGTTTTGTTGCAATAATCCGATCGTTTATAATCGTATATATTTGCATACATTGTTGCATTTTTTCGCAGAACTTTATATTAAATTGAAAATCGTCACCCATTTTTGGCTAAAATTGAAAAACAAAACTGAATTTGTATGGCATTTGTCACTCGTGTAGGCTTCTCTTGGTACCAAAGTGGCGTGGCGGTGGTGAAAGTAATCACACCAGATCCATGTCACCTTTATGTGAATTGCTTCATAGGCTAGGTAACTAGTTCATTTAAAATAACGGCAGAAGGTTGAGAAACGCCGCACTTGACGAGACTACTTGTTCCCTACGATTTTTGGTTCGCTGATTACGAAAATGAGGGTTAAAACTGGCAGCAATGGTTGAAACACCCCTAAAATTGCAAAAAAACACCCCTAAATGGGGGTATTTTTCGACTGTACTTGTTGTTTTGCAAACTAAGCCACCCAAAAAACATATAAGATGACTTAGTTCGCGAAACACCGTGACTGGTCAGTTTTTTAAAATTCACCCCTTGGAAGGGGTGTTTCTGGCATGTGGGGGGTATCACACAAATTTTCCAGTCTCGACACCCCGATTTTCGAAATCAACGACCCAAAAAACATATAAGATGAGTTAGTTTGCAAAACAACAAGTACAGTTGAAAAACACCCCTAGGTGTTTTTTGCAATTTTAGGGTTGGTTCAACCATTGCTGCAAGTTTTAACCCCAATTTTCGTAATCAGCGCCCCAAAAAACATATAAGATGGCTTAGTTTGCAAAACAACAAGTACAGTCGAAAAACACCCCTATTTAGGGGTGTTTTTTGCAATTTTAGGGGTGTTCCAACCATTGCTGTCAGTTTTAGCCCTCATTTTCGTAATCAGCGCTCCAAAATACGTAGGGGACAAGTGGTCTCGTCAAGTGCGGCGTTTCTCGATCTTTTACCGTTATTTTAAATGGACTAAACGTGAGGGTGGCATATGCCCATAACACGCCATTACCACACCACCACTACACGCCCGTTCTGTGTGAATTGCGCCTAAAAGTATCACTAAATTGTTATGTGGTTATAAAATACAAATTTTATAAAGTTAATAAACCAGTTGACAGAAGCAATTATTTTAATTTTTGGATTCCACGATAATTATTCAATTAAAGCCTTGGTTTCTTTGAACACTTCGTCGCGGTGAGCGGACAGTCCGTCAACCGTCGCGTTTTGACGATTTTATCCAACCAGAGTATTTAAATGGGAATGGTTTTCTTGAATCCGCTTAGCTGAGCAGGACGGCGTCATGCCGCTGATTTGTCGCGAAGAGTCGGTTGATATTTGTTGAGTTTGATATCAGCGGAATCGTCGGCGTGTGCGGAGACTATATTGTTATTAATTTTAAAACAATGGGTGACAAATTCACACATACAAATGACATCATGACTTTATTTTTAGATTTCTTGGAAATTATGTCCTTTATAAAACTCAACACGAATTCAAAAAGATCTGTAGAAAGTCTAAAATACTCCCTAAATTTGGTTTCATTTCCAAAAAACCTCAGCTGCACAATGATATTAAAGGCACCTTCTATATCGCGACACAAAAACAACTCATCCACTGGCTTATTGGAAACTTTGACGGTTGCAATTGCCAGTTCCTCTTGTTCTTCCTCTTCCAACAATAATAACAACGCAAACAATTTATTTGCATCCATTTTAGTACCTTTCGTTTACATTCATAATACATAAACAGCACGTACAGACCTAGAGAAAGTATCATTTTCTATATTTTTTAACAAACCACCTCGGGCGAAAATTGCTGTCCTTAGCGGTCGACGGACTGTCCGCTCACCGCGATGGAGTGTTCAAAGAAACCAAGGCTTAACCTATCAACGCGATTTCTACAAGATTCGTTATAAATACAGTCTGCGACTCTACCTTGTAAAGCGGAAGACAACCTTAAGCATGTAGCAAAAATTTAAGAAAAAACACTGCTGGACTTAAATATTAAACTGTTTAAAAGTAAATGTTACAGTAGTTGTAGTTATAGCACTTTTATAGTTTCTTTTTATGTATGAGAGAGTAATAAAACAGCATTTCTAATGCAAAACTTAGTACGGTCATTTTAAATATTTTTACAGAATAATCTAAATATTTCCTAAAATTGTAATAAATGTACCTGAGCTATTACAAGTTTTGGGTCTTTTATTGGTCCTTTATAAACATAAGCTGTACAGAACAATAGAAAAAGGTTTGGACAGGCCAAAAGCCCTGTGTATTAAATATTACATAGCCGTATCTTAAGATTATTTTCAATAAGTACCTATTTGCCAATTTTCTTTTATTTTAATTCCAAGAATGTCTTACAGTAATCGAATTATAAGTAGATAAATACCTTCCCAACAAATTTCACCGAAAATGCGATTACAGGTTTTCCATTTAGTAAGGAGGTCCAAGTTGTGTATTCTTGACAGTTTACTAAATGTCGTTTAGTTGCAACTTGCAAGGTGCAGTGTGAATTCTAGTGTGATCATGGAAAATTTGGAAGTGCCGCGTAAACGACAAAAAATTGGTCCTTTAACAGTTAATGAAAAAACATTAATATCTAATTGTTTTAAATCATTTACAGACAAACATTTATGTAAAAGTGTTGATGACACAGTGGAATTAGTTAGTAGTACGCTTGGTGTTGGGAAATCTACGATTTACAGAGTTGTTAAAGAAGAGAAATGTGGCGAGTTTCAAACAGCACGTGAAGCTCCAGGAAAACCAAAATTTCAATTAGAAAATCTTTTGAAAGAAAGACTTCGAAGGAAAGTGCATGCGTTCTTCTTTAGAAAAGAATTTCCGATAGTAGACAAAGTTCTTGCCACGGTTTGAGATGATAAGGATTACCCTGAAATGAGTCGAAGCACACTATGAAAACTTTTAAAAGAAATAGGTTTTCTATGGAAAAAGCATTCCAGAAAGTCTATTTTAATAGGAAGAAGCGATATTGTAGTATGGAGAAGAAATTACCTAAGGACTATAAAAGAAATGAGAAACCAAAGAAGAAATATATTTTATTTAGATGAAACATGGATCAACGAGGGACATAAACCAAATAAATTTTGGCAAGATGAAACTGTTACAAGTCGAAGACAGGCTTTCTTAAATAATTTATCTACTGGTTTAAATCCACCATCAGGAAAGGGGCGCAGACTAATAATAGTATACATCGGTAGTTCAAACGGTTTTGTTAAAGGTGGTTTATTGACTTTTGAATCTACTCGTACCGGTGACTACCATGAGGACATGAATGCTGATGACTTTAAAGAGTGGTTCGAACAAATTATAGATCTTCTTCCTCAGAACTATATAATAGTAATGGATAATGCAAGTTATCACTCGAGACTTATAGAAAAAATGCCCACAACCAAGTGGTTAAAAAAAGATTTACAGAATTGGCTAAATTCATCCCGGTTCTGTTCCCTTCATAAATATCAAAAAATATGAAATTGATGAAATTGCAAAAAATCGTGGGATGACGGTGGTTAGATCACCACCATATCATTGTGAAGTAAACCCGATTGAACTGATATGGGCACAGATAAAGGGAGAAGTTTAAAGAAAAAATAATTCTTTTAAAATGAGTGATGTTAAACAGTTGTTTTTGGAGGCTGTAAATAATGTGAAGCCTGAAAACTGGGAAAAGGCAGTAAATCATACGATTAAAGAAGAAGAGAAAATGTGGAAGTTGGACAATATTACTGATGAAATGATCGAGTCACTCATAGTAAATATTGGTTGCGACAGTTCATCTTCTGATTTCGATTCTGATTTGGATTTGTAGGTAAGAAGTAGTTTTTATATTAAAATTATTATTTATGAACGTAACGTTGTTTAAAAGTTAAAGTTTAAACCCTTATACCTACATAACCCGTTTGACACAATGTTCTTAACATGCCTTGTGGAAAAACAAAACATTTTAGAAAAAATTTCACTTTTTTACCTTTAGCTGTTTAGAAGTTATAAGCAGGTTAATTAGGTGAAAATATAAGTGTATACTCGAAGAATAACTTCAAAAAATATTTTAACTGTCTACTAAAAGAAGTGATACGCCTATGGATTACGAACGCTATATTATTTTAATACTCTCTCATACATAAAAATAGACTATAGTACTATGCTTACCCATAGTAATCCGTATCCCAGCAAGGCTCCTAGGAACTGTCCCACGAAATAAATAGGCACCTGTAACAATGGGATGTTTCCTAGAGTGGCAGCGGCTACTGTGACGACTGGGTTTATGTGCGCTCCAGAAATGTGTCCAAACACCTGAAAAGCAAATTTGTAGTTTTAATAAATAGAGATCGTAATAAAAGGAGTCGCTTTTTTGATCGGATCTCATTCGCAATAGTGGAAAATCTCCAAATAACTCAAAGGGGCAGTTAACCGTTATAATCTTAAAATAAAATAGAAATAAATTTTAAAGCCAGTGTCACATAATACGAGCATTCGCTTCCCTCAGGAAAACAACTACTCCTTTGGCTAATAGCCATTTAATTATATCCAATGGAAAATAGATATAGAATATACATTTCAACTTCTAATTTTGTTTATTAAGAAGAACGTTGTGATTGTTCCGGTTTTGTCTTTATTAGGATTCATCAGTAAGATATAATCATTTAATCACTAATAGAATCTGCAGAAGCGTTTAAAACACTCACCTGAATGGATGGAGGTTGCAAGAGAATGGGTAGTTAAAAAGTATAAATAGTAACGACATATGCACTCAGTAACTAAAATCAAAGCTTGCTCGCGGTATCCAGTTCAGATCCTCAAGAGGAATCCTACAGTCCAGTAAGACTGAGACTAATACAACACTGTCCTAAAACAAAATTTAGCACGTATTCGGACTAAACACCTACTAGCTCTAAAAAGCGATCTAGAAAAACCGAATTAGACAATACTTGTTGCCTCATTCAACCAAATAGAACTAGTAAGAACATTCCTTGGTGGAACAGTCATCTTTCAAACTTATGTTTCGATGTGCGGAAACTCTATAACAGGGCCAAACACAGCGGAGATTGGTAGAGCTACACCAAAACACTTACCACCTGTAACATAGAATTCAGGTAAGGTAAAGGTAACAGCTTCAGGAAATTTTGCGAATAGATTAATTCTACACCTGCAGCAGCAAGACTGCACAGAGCTGTACCGAAAGGAAGAGTGGATATAGCTATGGCTCTGAAACAACCAAATGGAAGCTTCACGGAGAGTAAGGAAAAAAGAACTCGCCTCTTACTTGAAACTCACTTTTCTGGGAGCACACCTTTTCTAATAAGGGACACATACAAGGTAAGCAGGCTCTCGAAAGAGGACGTTGCAGTGGCTTAACACATTTGCAGCAGCAATCGGTTAAAGTGGGCTGTAGACAATTTTGAACCGTTTAAGTCTCCAAGTGTGGATCTGCACAACCAGACAATGTCCACAAGGAGGCGTTCTGTCCCCACTAATGTGGAGCCTAATCATAGACGAACTTCTATGTAGATTGACTGATCTCGGCAAGGAAGTACAAAAAACAAACCATCCTAATTCTCTCAGACAGCCAAGCAGCCTTAAAGGCTCTTGATTCAAACAGAATCAAGTCAAAGCTTGTCTGGAACTGCCTTGAAATACTAAATGATCTGGCAACCCACAACAAGCTAAAACTAGCGTGGGTAGCAGGGCACAAAGGTATCCAAGAAAATGAAAAGGCTGATGAACTCGCCAAAGAGGGATCAGATTTACCATTCACAGGACCCGAACCTGTATTTGGGATAAGCAAAACCTCTGCTCGACAGGCAGTGAACAGGTGGATAACCACAAAACACCAAATTCACTGGCAACAGATAAGAGGGCACAGAATCAGTAAGCTCATGCTAAGGGGACCAAACCCACGCATGGCTACTGAGGAACTACAACTCGCAAGGCCTCAGATATCCACCATAGTGGGATTACTAACAGGGCACTGCTTGCTGAAACACCTTCATGTGATGGGATTTCACAATGATCCCACTACGTGTAGATTCTGCATGGAAGAGGAAGAAACCTCATACCATGGGATCATCGAATGCGAAGCTCTTACTAGGCGACGTTTCATCCTTGCTGGCCTAGAACCGGAAAGAACGCTCCAGGAACACTTGGTAGGGAATCTATTAAAACTAACCAAAGACACAAGACTATTCCAAAGATAGTACCTGAATAGGAGGAAAGCAGGGGAATACAATAGACCCAAGAGGCCGCAGTGTTCTGGGCCAAACCCAACCCTACCTACTTACAACCGATAAAGATAAACATCTCGGCATAACCTGTTAAGGTTATGCCGACGACAGTCATATTTGCTATAGGCGAGTTTGGAAATATCCTGTCATCTAGTCCAGAGGGGACTAGAATACACCAAAAGATGGTGTGAAGAGGTGGGACTTATTATAAACCCCACCAAAATAACACTAGTAGCTTTTTCAAGGAAAAGAAATTTTAAACTTAAAACCGTCAAATTAGACGAGATAGATATAGAATGGAAAAAAGAAGTCAGATATCTAGACCTAACCATGGATAACAATAAAAAATAATTAACAAACTTTTTTGGAACATACATTAAAAGTCCTAATGATATGCAGAAACATTACGGGTAAAATATGGAGATGTAACTCGAACATACTGCGATGGATGTATACAACAATACTAAGACCAATCATCACTTATGGGGCTGTAGCCTTGAGTAACAAAACTAGTTTGGCTACTACGAGAGCTAATTTCTCAAAAGTACAAAGGCAAGCCTGTGTTTGCATCACTGGTGCAATGAAAACATGTCCTACGCCCACAATGCAAGTGATTTTAAACCTTACCCCTGTAATGAAGTCAATTTTCCTCAATCAATTTATTTTCATTTTTAATAAATATTAACTGACTATCATCACAACTGGAGTGGGCGTTGAAATATTTAATTTCTTTTTTTTTGTTGTAAATAGTTATTCACATTATATGTGTCAATGTTAACCTGCCGTATTACTGGTTAATAATTCCCTACTTTGTTTCCCCCTTATATTTCAGCTAGTGATAAATTCTGTACGAGCCCAAGCAACGATTAAAGCCCGTTACTTGTGGTCTACTATTACCTGTGTCTAAGTGACCTTTGACCCCTGGAATTTTTCATCTCCATCTGTAGCTACCCGAGTACTTTCGACGCAGTTTCGAAAGTTTGTAGAGTAAACCATCAGCAAAAATCTGGCGCTCGAGAACCGCCCGTAACCAGCGTCATTCGTAAGGAACCGTTTTCTCTGTGGCGAAAAAACCCCTTACACCCCTCTACATTTAATGCTAGAGAACGTGGCAAAAAGAACAAGATACAGAATGATCAGAAACGAAGTAATCAGACGAAAGTCTATTAGCCTCAAGACCGAAGATACGCCCTATGACAAAATGAGAAAGAAGTACAGTTTTCAAAACCACAGAACTGGTCTGCAAGAAAGAATGGATCCAAAAATCCATCGTGCGTGCAACCGAAAGACATGCCGTTTAGTGGTATACGAATGGTTCAAAAACCATGGAAGGAACTGCAATAGGAGTGTATGGGCCTAAAACCAGGCACTCTGAAAGTTTGGGTAAGTACCCAAACAACTTCCATGCAGAAATTCACGTCATAGAGAAGTAAATCCAGTTCAACATCAAGAGAAGCTATGATAGAAAAGAGATTATTATCATGTCCTATAACCAAGCAGCCATCAAAGCGCTGAGTTCTTACGTAATCAGCTCAAAAATGGTCTGGACGAGGAAAATATACATAACGGGGTAAAGGGTAACGAGATTGCAGATATTCTCGCAAGAAAAGGGGCTCAAACACCCTTTGTGGGACTTTAGCCGTTCTGCGATATCAGCAGTAACACAATATTGGGAGAGATTAAAAAAGAATTGGGCAGTAGGAGACCCGATAATTGTAACAATCTCTTAGGGTTAAGACAAGCTAAGATACTTCTGGGTGAATATAACCAGAAAAGATCGGAAGCCTGTATCAGCTTGAGCAAGAATAGGCTACGCATTGTAACAGGGATCCTTACCTCGCATTTTCGACTCAAAGGACACCTTAGTAAACTGAGAGTAGTAGAAGATAGTTACTGCAGATTCTATGAAAGGGAGGATCAAATATCCATTCACTTTCTGACTGAATGTGTAGCACTCCAGGATCTAAGGAGCATACCAAATAGAAGAGATCAATCTACCTAACTTGAAGCCACTTCAAATCCTATACTTCCCTGAGAAGATAGGATTGGAAGGGTCGTTATAGATATTAGACTCTTTTTTCGATACATTAGCGACAGAAGGGGTCACAATTGATATTTTAGGTCGCAGTGCAATAATATCACATGCCCATCCAGTTCAAAAACTAGGTGGGATAAAAAGCTATGTGGGCAATTTAAACAAATGAAATATTTCTACTCCTCATATGTGACCAAAATAAAAATAAATCTGAAAACAATTATTACATAATACGAGCGAACTTTTTCCTCAAGAAAACACATTCTCCTTTGGCAAATACAGCATTGAATTAATTATATTCAAAGGAGAAGAACAAAGATAGAAAATAATTTTTAACACTCTACCTCTAACTATATATGGAAGGAGATTTGTGTAAGTGTGCACCTCATTTCAAAGCTAATTCAATTGTCTTTACAATGTTGAGTAAAGTTGGATAATATTTTTTATTTGTTATGCGCATTTACACATTTTTAATAGCAGAAGATTGAATCAGGTAATATAAGTACCATTTAGGTACTTGTCACTTTAATAACAACAAACTTTAATTACATTTTTTTACTTCGTTATAAGACAGATTTTATTTGCATACAATAATTACTGGTTTAAAGATTGGTTACAAATTGTTTAAACAAAGTATATAATGAAAATGTAAATACGAATTGTATCCTCATCAATTACAATTTACATTAATATATGAATTAACAGTATAAATTAGTATCTCGTTAAATTATTTATTACTAATACATATTTATAATTATTTAATATATAATTATTTGAAGACGGATATTAAATTTAACAATCCTTAAATCCATTATCTTTCCATTAATCCATTTACCCTTTAAACCTGAAGTGTAAAAAATATTTGGACCATTTACCTCATAAGCGTGCCCATGTAAAAATATTATTTGGAGATCTTTACCTTTTTGATCTTAATATTAAATTCAAAAACAAACTCCATTTTGTAATTCGTTAAAACTCGTTAAATTTTTAATTTATGTAATGTTTAAGAATGACACCAATATAAAAAAATGTCTGTGAAATAAGTGCCCATGTCACACTAAATAAAATTAGCGCTATAACAAATAAATTACATTCAACAGCTATCCGTAAACTAGACCAAATTCAAAGAACAGCATATCTCAACATAACAGGAGCCATGAAAACAACACCGACTAGAGCGATGGAAGTCATTCTTAGTCTCACTCTCCTTGATATTTACATCAAGGAGGTTGCTCTGACGTCAATGACATGCCTCCGCACGGTCGGATAGAACCTGATGTAGGATCTGGTGAGGCGAGACGTCACTTTTGGCAGGAAGCGCTGGATACGCTCCCATTGTTTCAAACGAACATGGACTCCATCTCCGTTCAAATAGAGCTACCAGGGATTCTCATAGCAGCAAAAGAAATAACCAGAAACAATATTACTGGAAGGAGCATGCTCATCTATACAGATATACAGACAAGCACTACTCACCCTGAACAGACCACGAATTTATTCAGGGTTAGTACTAGAATGTCACGAAGCTTTGGCCGAAGAATCCATCAGCAACGTGATCACTTTAAGATCGATTAAAGGTCACGTCACATCAAAAGGTAACCGTCTTGCTAATTCACTAGCCAAGAAAGCAGCCAACCAAATACTTTTTGGAGCTGGCCTTTCAATTGGCCTGACAAAATCGGCAGTGACAGACCTAATCAAAGAACATTCCCTTGTGAAATTCAAGGAAAGATGCGATGAAACAAGAAACTGTAGAGTTGCTCTTAAGTTATCCTGACAACATTGCAGCAAACAAATACTTGACTATGACTAGACAGAATATGCGCCTAGTCACAGGCATTCTGACTGGTCATTGCCAAGTACGAAAGCATCTCCTTATCATGGGGCTGTCAGAATCCGCACTCTGCAGAGGATGCGAACAAGAAGATAAGACCATCGAGTATATCCTTTATGATTGCTCGATGCTTTCATTTATTAGAAGATTTGTGTTCGGCGAGTATCGGCTAACACTGGGCGATATAAGAGAAGCACCTCTTGGTGACGTTGTTAACTACATTAAATCTGTAGGCTGGCTCACGAGCTAGGAGGTGCCTATCTTCTCAGGATGATATACAATGGGCCTAATGAGGCCTAAATACCGTGGGTTAACCCACCCTCCACACGTTACAGATACAGATAAGGGTATTACTTCCTCTTAACGTATAAAATAAGGTTATAAAATCAGTGTTTAAATAAATGGTATGGATAAAAAAAATTGTCTATTCAAATCAACTATTAATAAATTGTAAGTTTTATAAATAAAAATGAATAGAAAGTTTTCTATAAAATGTTCTTCCAAACTTTTATTTAAATCGCTTGAGAGATATTAACAAAATATTACGAAAATATTACGGCAGGGGACAGGGCACATGTTCCTTAAAAGCAAAACTTTCGAATAGTTATCCTACAAAAAAAAATTATTTTAGCTCTTACGACATTGTTGCACCGGATGTGCGATATTTATATCTATAATAGTACCTTTGAATTTGCCTTCGTCAGCACCAATATCTCAAAGAAATTTTGTTTTGCGTTATTTTAAATTTTACAAGGTGCTCCAAACAAAACTACAAATAATAAAATAATTATTTTTCTATTTTTTATTTAAGTAGGTACCTATTGCAATTGTGTCTTAAATATTGCAATACTGAAAAATACGTATTTTATTTCTAAATATACAGGGTAGCTGAAAGTATTTCGATTATATATTTTAATAGAGATAATATGGATTGGAACACTTACGATTGTGGTAAATAATTTAAAAGTAGCCAAATGCCGAAAAAAGTACTTACAAATTTGGTCACGGATACGGAAACCGGATACAAAATTTGAAAAGTATCCGGATACAGCTTTCGGATACACATAAAGTATCCGGATACTTTGTCCGGATACAGAAGTATCCGGATACTACCCAACTCTGCTGCCTGGGAACTGCCAGTTTCTAGTTTCCATAAATTAAAAACACAACATTCTTCAAATGATGGTTTTATACATATTACCTAATGCACGTTATACTTACAACGTACAATTTATATTTGTTTCACTTGAATTAAATTTTACGTTTTTATGTCATATGAGGGTATGTTGAATTAATTTGAGACCTTTAATAACGATTTTTAATAAAGACTGACCCGGCTTTTCGAATTTATTTTTTTTTATACTCGGCAAAAGATTATGTCATACTTTCTTTTCATTAGGCATTTCAACGATCTGTTAAACAATAGCTGCCAGTAGGAAGGGCTCGTAAATCTAAAGGGGTTGCGACATAGCCTTCCATCTTGAACGCCATCAATGTCTATTTGGCTATTTTACTCAGCTTAAAAAAATGATTATCCAACAATTGACTTTCCTGTCTAGTTTTTACAGGCTTTTCCTGGTCATTTTGTATAGCCTATTGTATCACCCCCTGTAAATGTTTAGAGGATGACCTAAATATATAAATTTTCCACACTCCGAACATTTTTTATATATATATTCATTTTATTCTGCTACTTACAGAAGAAGATGTCATGAAAGGTTTTAAAATATTGAAACCTAAAAATACTAGATGGCCAGATGATATTCCGGCATTTTTAATAGGAGATTGTGCAAATATTTTAGCCAAACCTTTAACCATGGTCCTTACGAGAAGGCAATTTTCCAAGTAATTGAAAGATATCTAAAATCTGCCCAATCTTTAAGAAAGGATCCAAATCTATCATAGAAAACTACAAACCTATATCCATTCTTAGCAATTTGGAAAAGTTTTCGAAAATATCATTTATGAAATACTTTTCGCTCATGTAAAATCGATTATATCTACGGCACAGCACGGCTTTTTCCCAGGCAGATCCACAGAGACCAATCTGATATGCTTTACACAATATGTTGCGGAAAACCTTGATAGGGGTGGCCAGGTTAAAGCTATATATACTGACTTTTCCAAGGCCTTTGATCGCCTCGATCATAGTATACTTTTGAACAAGCTTTCCATTGTTGGACTCACTACGTCTTTTCTGCGTTTCTTTGAATCATATTTAAGTAATCGTAAATTGAAAGTTGAATATCATGATTTTCAGTCAATTTGTATAAAAGCTTCTTCCGGTGTCCCTCAAGATTCAGTCCTAGGACCACTTTTATTTTCCATTTTTGTAAATGACATTACTGAAAACCTATCATGTAATACTCTACTCTATGCCGATGATTTAAAATTGTTTAAATCAATCTCCAGTATTGATGACTGTTTGATTATGCAGGAGAATCTCAATAAATTGAACCTTTGGTGTAATTCTAACAACTTACCACTAAATATATCTAAGTGCAATTCTATCAGCTTCACTCGCAAACTAAATCCGATTGAGTATAATTTCACTGTCAACAATATTACCATCAATAAATGTCTTTCTTTTAGAGATCTTGGCGTTCTTTTCGACGCAAAGTTAAACTTTATTGAACATGTCAATACTATTCAAAAAGAAGCATACAGAAATTTGGGTTTTGTCATTCGAAATGGACGCCAGTTCTCTGAACCTAACACTTTAAAAACTATTTTTAACGCTTTTGTACGTAGTAAGCTAGAATATGCGTCCATTGTTTGGAGTCCTGGATATAAAGCACATAGCCAGGTATAAGAAAAAATTCAGCGAAAATTTGTCAAATATTTGTGGTGCAAGCTAGATGGCGTCTACCCTACTCGCAATATTCCGCAAACCATCTTGCTGAATAGATTTGATATCCTTGAATTACGTACTCGCAGGAAATGTTATTCCATCTGCATTCTTTAGAAATTATTAAACTTTAAAATTGACTGTCCCGAACAACTTCGTCAACTAATGTTTAATGTTCCTAGTATCAGAACTCGCTCCCCTTTGTATTTCTATTTTCAGACACCCAGGCCAAATATTTTAAAATTTTCTCCAATGTATTTTACGTATCAAAATTTTTGTGAACTTCAATAAAATGTTGATTTATTTTCTATTTCAATTAAAGAAATAACACGCTTAATTGTGGACTGAGTTAATTATCATAAGACAACGTAATTTTCTCCTAACGGAGTGTTTTTTTGCGTTTATTAAACTATTTTTTGTTTATATATATTTATTCTATTATTAGTATTTAATATTTTGTTATTATTTTTATGATGTAAATTATACTGTAATTGTAATTATTACTGAAAAATTAAAATTTAACACTTTTTCTCAAATTTTTCCATCAGAGTGTGTTTTAGAGAAATCATATATAAAACAAAAAATTATACAGAATGATATGGCAAACAACTTTTATTTTCTGAAGCTGAACATTTTGAAGTACTAGATATTTATAGAAAATAAGAAAAAAAAAAATATATTTACCTGAATGGCTACCATCACCGCAAGTCCAAATGTGAAAGAAAGTTGTTCGTGTGGAACAACACCGCCCGCTGACAATGTATTCACACATCCCATACAACCTAAGAATAACAGAATGGCTGTGCCACCGGCTTCAGAAGCACACAGTATTATCCTGTCTTTTGTTGACATATTGTCCTTTATTTCGATGATCTTTGCTAGAAATAAATAAAATGCACAATTAAAATAAACCATAACATGTAAATAATTTCACTTTTTAAAAAGGATCACGGATTGATTGAAAGAATTTAATGAAATAAATCGTCCAAGAAGAGTATCTAAGAGAGACAGCAAAAGATTGCAATAGAAGCTGAATGTCCAGTTAATTAACACAATGATTTTAAACGAAATTAAACTATTCTAAATCAGTACTACAAAAATGTTTTAATAATGAATTAATAATATCAAGTCGTTGATAAATTGTATTAATCTTTAAAAGTAAAAAATATGACTTAGTCTTTTCTTACCATTCAAATTTCAAAAAAGAGTACATTAATGAAACATGCAACGCATTGTATATTGTCTATAGTAAGAGAATCTTCTAAAAACGTTTTAAAATATGATTAGGCAAATTCGTAAAAGCAACTTATTAATCCAGATTTTCGTGTTTGTGATACGGCTTATCTTTTCCATATCAAATGTTATAAATTAACAGTATCATTAAAATGCTTTATTATATTTGGAGATAATAATTATTAGGAAACCAATAATAAAGGTGAGCAGAACAAAATAATGTACCTACAAACAAGGATTATTTGGCAACTCGAGCAAAGTGCAAGAACTCTAGATTTTTTTTGGTAGATTTGGGGCACCATCAGTTTTAAAATAAAATAGTAGTTGCATCTTTAGGGGCTAAACCATTTAAACGAAGGTGCATATTGCAGTTGTAAATTTAAATTATATTGGGGGGTTAAAAATGGTGGAGTCTGTAAAGGTATGGGTGTGAATGAATAAAAAATGGTGAACGTCGCAAATCTAAGGCTACAGGGATCAAAAATGGAGGAGGCTGAAAGGTAAGGGTTTGGGTGAATAAAAAATGGAGAGTGTAGTAAATTTAAGGTTTTGGGGATACCAATGGTGGGTTAAATAGTGAATGCTGTAAGGGCAAAAGTTTGTGTGAATAAAAAGAGTAGGTGTTGTAGTTGTAAGGTTTGGGTAGATACAAAATTGTGGGTACTGTACCCTAAAGGTGCTGTAAAGATTTGAGAATGACTGAAACCCCTAATTTCCTAAGTTATAGACTTCACTAGTTACTTGAAAGGGATTCTTTTAGGTACAGAGGAGGAATACATCGGACGATTTCGGCAATTTTGCAGCCTTATTTCTCTTTCTTTCATGTGTATTAAGTGAGATAACTGCAGAGGCAACTTTCAAGTAGCGATCCGAGTCTACATTCCCGTAATCGTCCCTTACTATTTTTTACAAAGTGGGTTATACATACAGAGGGTCAATTTAAAAACCTCCCATTGACAATATCTACTAATAAAAAAATATCAAAAACTTCTAGAAACAAGAAGATTTGTATTCTAAGGAGGACACCTTTCTATCATATTATCAAGTGCCATACGTCATTCGCCTCCCTTCTATCACACTACCCAATACAATTAAAATGGTACAATGAAAAAGTAATAACTATTTATTGCGATATTTTAGATTTCTTGCGCACTCCACCGAAATAAAAAACGGTTACGTAATGTAAAAAGTGATACTTCATTTGAAAGCTAATTTGATAAGTTTATTTAATGCACAATACAATAAAACATAATTTAATGAAATATAACTTAAATAAGCATAAGAATGTTGCCATTAATGTTAGGATTAAATCAATTTAACTTTAATTGCAATAAATTAAAATAGCAAATTTAAGCTACGCAATAAATTAATAATAAAACTAGCTTTCAAATGAAGTGTCACAATAATTTAAATTTCTTTGGTTAGTGTGAGAGAGGGGAGGAAAATGACATTTGAGAATTTACCTATTTTAGGCAAGTTTTAATATTCCTTTATATAAGGAGACATTGCAATTAGGATTTTTTTTCATTGAAACCCTGTATGAAGCTAATGGGGACAGCCACAGGAATTGATATTTTTTATTGAAAAACTTTTTTTTATTTTTAATATATTAGAATCTATTGGAATTATTTGGAATGTTAAATTTTTTAGGATTTTTTTAGAATTTTGTAGAAATTTGTAGAATTTTGTAGAAATTTGTAGAATTTTGTAGAATTTTGTAGAATTTTGTAGAATTTTGTAGAATTTTGTAGAATTTTGTAGAATTTTGTAGAATTTTGTAGAATTTTGTAGAATTTTGTAGAATTTTGTAGAATTTTGTAGAATTTTGTAGAATTTTGTAGAATTTTGTAGAATTTTGTAGAATTTTGTAGAATTTTGTAGAATTTTGTAGAATTTTGTAGAATTTTGTAGAATTTTGTAGAATTTTGTAGAATTTTGTAGAATTTTGTAGAATTTTGTAGAATTTTGTAGAATTTTGTAGAATTTTGTAGAATTTTGTAGAATTTTGTAGAATTTTGTAGAATTTTGTAGAATTTTGTAGAATTTTGTAGAATTTTGTAGAATTTTGTAGAATTTTGTTGAATTTTGTAGAATTTTGTAGAATTTTGTAGAATTTTGTAGAATTTTGTAGAATTTTGTAGAATTTTGTAGAATTTTGTAGAATTTTGTAGAATTTTGTAGAATTTTGTAGAATTTTGTAGAATTTTGTAGAATTTTGTAGAATTTTGTAGAATTTTGTAGAATTTTGTAGAATTTTGTAGAATTTTGTAGAATTTTGTAGAATTTTGTAGAATTTTGTAGAATTTTGTAGAATTTTGTAGAATTTTGTAGAATTTTGTAGAATTTTGTAGAATTTTGTAGAATTTTGTAGAATTTTGTAGAATTTTGTAGAATTTTGTAGAATTTTGTAGAATTTTGTAGAATTTTGTAGAATTTTTTAGAATTGTTTTAGAATTTTTTAGAATTTTTTTAGAACTTTTTAGAATTTTTTTGGATTTTTTAGAATTTTTTTAGAATTTTTTAGAATTTTTTAGATTTTTTTTAGAATTTTTTAGAATTTTTTAGAATTTTTTAGAATTTTTTAGAATTTTTTAGAATTTTTTAGAATTTTTTTGAATTTTTTAGAATTTTTTAGAATTTTTTAGAAATTTTTAAAATTTTTTAGAATTTTTTAGAATTTTTTAGAATATTTTAGAATTTTGTTAGAATTTTTTAGAATTTTTTAGAATTTTTTAGAATTTTTTAGAATTTTTTAGAATTTTTTAGAATTTTGTAGAATTTTTTAGAATTTTTTAGAATTTTTTAGAATTTTTTAGTATTTGTTAGAATTTTTTAAAATTATTTAGAATTTTTTAGAATTTTTTAATTTTTTAGAATTTTATAGAATTTTTTAGATTTTTTTTTAGAATTTTTCAATTCTTTTTAGAATTTTTCAGTTCTTTTTAGAATTGTTTAGAAGCCTATAATCTTTTTTGAATGATTATAATCTTTTGGAATTCTTTACAATGTTTTAAAATGTTTTTTAGTTTAAAGAATTTTAATTTTTTTTTTTAGAAAACTTTATTTTGATTTACTTTAATTTGTCGTCTCTGTATACATCTTCTATCATGACTATTCTTAAATAAATATTTTAAACCACATCAACAAAATAATTTAATTTCATCGAAATTTGGATAATATAATTAAATAGCTAGGTAATAAATATCCAGGACGCGTTTGATGTAGGAAATACGGACAAGGTCCTTAAAACATCTACTTTTAATTGTAATTAATACATGGTGTAATATATGATTAAGTTACTGACATTGATAGACCAGCTATTATCCAGTAACATTTTTATAGATACCTTTTTACCACTTGCAAACAAAATATTCATTTACCATGTAAATTGTTGAATGTTAATTAAAACTTCACTATAATATTTTATTAAATTATAAAATGATGAAGTCACGTTATAAGGTAGTTGAAATTTATTACTTCAATAATTGAAAGTAGGTATATTACACCTCGTAAAACATTTTCTATAAAGGTAAGCAATAAATAATTTTAGTATTATTAAATATCAGGAAACAACTTCGCAATATGTATTTTTCTGTTTTCAGTAAGAGTAACAGAATATTACTATATTTAGATAATATACAGGGTGAATAATAACTATTTGGACATAGAATAAGCGCTAGTTATTTGGTTAAAAATGATTGAATACATACCTTTAATAAAATGTTCTAAAAAAGATACACGGTGTTAAAGTTGACTTTTTTGTAATAATATCACAACGTATTTGTAAATCATTACACAGCCCCACAAAAAAAAAGTGTTCAGGCTTGGCGGTTGGACATATGTATTCCCATGTATTTTTCGACGCTGAATCCGATCCCGAGCTCAGAAATTGCCATCCACGTCTGGAATTGGCCCCAGGGGCCAAAAAAGGCCTCTATATGGCCTGAAAGGTGGATTCCGAGATGAGGTGGTTGAAAGTGCATTCTAAAGACAAAGTCAGGTTTATGGTCGAAAAGTTTGCGGACAACTGGAATCTCCCGTGCGGTAGGGACCGGGAAAATAGCCCGGCAGGGACCGGAAAATCGTGTTTCGGATGTCGCAATGACATCAATGGAATTTTTAGGTACGTTTGAATTCTGGAATGAATACCGTGCTAGAAAAGTTTAATGCCCAACTGAAATTTCAAGTTTGGGACCGGTAAAATGGCCTCTTAGGGGCCGGAAAATCGTTTTTCGGACATTGCAATCGCTACAGTGATATTTTTATGTTCTTATTTATGTCCTAGTTCTCGAACTCAGACTGTGCTCGAAAAGTTTATGGCCAACTGCAATTCCCTCTTTGGGACCGGGAAAACGATCCCATAAGGGCCGGAAAGTCGTGTTTGGGAGGTAGTAATCGAGTGGTATTCTCATGAAAATTGAGTGAAGCCAATGTTCTTCTACTCTGCGAATAAATTTGACGTCGAGAATCTAGAATCTAGAATCTAGAATCTAAAATCTAGAATCTAGAATCTAGAATCTAGAATCTAGAATCTAGAATCTAGAATCTAGAATCTAGAATCTAGAATCTAGAATCTAGAATCTAGAATCTAGAATCTAGAATCTAGAATCTAGAATCTAGAATCTAGAATCTAGAATCTAGAATC